TCTAGCTAAATGGGATATATATTGGGTTACTTAGACAATCAAAATATCGTCTTGAGCTAGAACATCCAGCTACATGTGGACGGGGGTCTTGTTAAAAGTATTTCGACATGCTACCATATATCTAAATGTCATGTATAAAATTAAAAGTTTGAAAATTTAGGGCGTCTAAATAGCAAGCTGAATAGCGACGATTGTACCCAAAAAATAATAACTTCCCAAGTCTTTGTTTTTTAAATAGTGCTTTAGATTGTCAAAATAGCCACAATAATAAATAATACCTTCAAACCCACATAATCCAGAACATGTACGTGATCTAGAACGTGTAAATTTGGAAATAAATTTATATATTTATAATTTAGCTTTCTAAATTTGAATCTAAACTTTATATATTTAGAAACAGATTTAGACATTTCTAATTTTGCTTTAGAAATTTGAATCTAAACTTAATAAAATATTACACAATTCTGCTCCTTGATGTCGTTCATCCAGTGGGATATTCAAGGCACATTCAGCTATAAATGTACGAGTATAAATAGTAAATACTCACATCGATCCAATGCTTTTCTGTATCTTTTACCATTCACATGTTTCTCCACATGTGACGGTTGTTTGTTGATATGGCGCAGAGTTAGCAGGCAAAATAACTGCTGTCTAAAAACAGAAAAAAAAATTTAAGCACATAATAAATTACAAATTATCCAGTTTTTGACTAGAAAGTGTCTTTTTTTTTTTTCCTGAATCACTTTATTGTACTTTCCATCAAATATTTTGTAGCAATACAGATTCTATTCTAAACACAATATGGTCTGGACGTAACCTTGATATTGTAAAATACTTTATTTTCGCTGGAATTAATTTTCGCTGAATAGACTTTTTGGGTGTTTTGTATGGAATTTATTTTCACTGATTTTTGACAAGTTGAATGTAAAATATAGGAAAAATGGTATATTCGCTGGATTTTATTTTCACTGAATCATTCCTTCAGCGAAAATAGCGAAAATTAATTCCAAGCAAAAATAAAGTATTCCACAGTATATGTTTAAAATCATCTGATGTCAATACGCTGCCTGTCATTTAAGGGTATAGACAGTCTCAGAACCAATCTCACTAGCTCGTAGTTATAAATATTTATACTATCAATATCACCGTTGCTGACATAGTTGCACTGTGTAAAAGCGACTTTGAACTTTGACTGAACTGTAAATGCTGCGTTCAATCAAAGAATCTAGAAAATACAATTGCAAAACGATTGAAAATAAAAAGTTTTTTATCAGATCGAAATCTAGGTTAAAGGTTAAACTTGCGAGAATATAATAACGACAACAGCCATGGCATGCTGGTAATGAAGTGAAGTGATTCAGAAGACAGAATGCTCTTTGCGAACTTGTGTATATGGGGCTCCAGTTTTAGTTATAAACTGACGTTAGCTTCAAATTCATGTTCTACCATAGTAACGGCTGACAACATTTTGTTTGTTTTTTGAGCAGAGTGAATCACCAATGAGTTTACCGACTTGTTGCGATATTGGTGAAACCAAGATTTGCCACACTTACACACACGCACACAGACAGACACACAGACAGACAGACAGACAGACATAGGTATGATATTGACCCCCTAAAAATGGGTTGGGTTACTGATTTATGGAATAACACACTCACTCATGTCCTCGTTTGTAACTAGGTACAAGATGAGGTTTGTATATTTCATAGTCAAAGTTGTTTTCATCTTTGAGTCGTCTATACTTCTTTCCTTCTGTGTGTTTCTTCACTATGTCAAGGTTACCTGGCATTTCATGGCCTGTTAGTCTGCATATCACCTGCAACAACAAAATTACTTTTCAGTTCTGACATTCAGAATGGTGGATGGACATTTCACCTTTGGAAGTTCTAGACGCAAATAGTTTCGTCATAAACTTATTTGCTGTTTTAACTCACAAAAACAGTGATAGTAAAAAGTGTAGTTATACATCAATTAATTTGCAAAATTATTCAATTTTTTTTTGTAGTTTTCAGTGTACATTACTGTACTTTCTTAAGTCAGGCTTGTGTCAATAAACAAATGTCTACTGAGGCACAGGAGTTCTACCTACATCAGTACATGTACGAGTACAAGTGGGTGAATTACGAGTTGTGAAATTGTCACAGCAATATATACTAGACGTCATGAATGCTGAGTTTATTGTTGAGCTGCTGTAATTGCGTACGGACATTACAAATTGCGCATCTTCGGGTTGTCAAAACATGCCTCCATCGAGTGATTGTCTCTCAATCTGTGAAAATGCCTTGCTCCATGGACGTACCCGGGCTTGCATGCTTACCATGCTATAAAACGAGACATGTCCAGTGTTTACTGAATTTTAAAGTTATGAATAACTGACTTACTATATTTGAGCCTTCTCTAATTTCTATTTTGGGATGCAATTTCAGAAAATCTCGTAATTCAACGGATATCCCACTTGTAGAAGAAGCCATCACTGACGGAACTCACTGACGATGGTTCATTATGGGCGCCCTCGTGCGGTGACCTAAGGTATATATTTCGTTTGTGTTAAGCTGAAAAGTTTATGGTCAATTTGTTATCCAAAATCCATAAGCGAATTGTTTTTAAAACTTTTGACCACAGCGTGCAAGGACCAGAAACATTAAATTATTTTCTCGGGCCTAATAGCACTGAGTTCCTGTGAAATATAGACAAGGTTTATGCAACTTGCGGGATATCCACAAATGTCTTTTTTTATCTACCATTGCTTCCTTCAATACCCAGCAGCAATGACATCGACCTTACATAGAAAATAAATTTCATAAGCTGCAAAATTTTCTCTGTATTATGTTTTCAATAAGATTTTAGTCACATGCCACGTTTATGAAAGTTGCCTACCCTTACCTTGTCATCTACCCTTGGCGTATCTTTTTTTCCCCAGCAGCATGATATTTTAATACTGATCATTAGAAATTTGGGAGAGCCTTATGAATTTATTTTTTGAAAAACACTCACTTTATTCCCATATGCCTGATAACAATTTTATATTCGCATTTTTACTAATCTGTTGCTATTATTATACAGCCACTGAGTAAATTTTTTGTTGGTTTTCTATTTATTTTTTGTCACAGTTTTAAAATGGGGGAACACATAATTCCAGGTGTATATAAAATCAAACATTGTTGAACCAAACAATCCATTAAAAATGATATTTAAATCATTTTTACAGTACTGTACATGTCTTGATAGCTAGGCATGTTAATTTAACAAAGTTAGCTAATCCATAATTTCAAGCTTCAGGATGCTGTTAATTTAAAATAAAGTATCGCACACAGATCATTGGCACTTTACTTGAATCAAGATTCTGTTAAAACTTGAGCATTAAGGCAAATTTGCTAAAATTGTATTTCAGCTTGTTTTACAGTAGCTGAGGCACGGTAGTACATGTATGAATATACTGAAATAATACATTCTCATAGTTTTGACTGTACTCACACAAAAATACAACTTACAGTAAGTGTGGACATACTTCGATTTTATTCATGTTAACATCACATACATACATTATCTATTTCTATACCATTTTCATTTTGTATTTGCATGATTTTTTAATGTTTATTTTTTTGATTCATAAAATCATTATTTTTGATGCAAAACTTTTGTAATGGTCAGACAACAGCAAAAATGCAAGACATGCATACACATTGGTGTATATTTCGTTTTTTCAGTTGACATCTATAAATATTTACTGCAACAATCTGCTAAGTACACTAAAATAAAATAAATCTAACATGCTAGTTGACATTAAAACAAACTCTTGAAAACCTTTTTACTACTGTCATCAGTTTATTCGCATAATTCTGCATTGTAGTCATATATGTTGTACATTTCGACTATTATAATTATTTATCTTCTGGTAGATATCTTTTTTTATTCATCTGATGTCTTAAAAACTTTAAAGTCAACTTTTCCCCTAAATTTTGATCAACCCTGTAGCCAACAGAAAATTTGCCTATTTAATCCAAAATTATAGAAAAACTCATAAAAAGGCAAAATGTTCTTAAATTATAAAAGTAAAAATAAAGGCCCTCGAGGGGTTTATTTACATTAGAACGAAAGTGGAAGCAACAACAACTCGGCAATTAAAATAAGATCTATTTTTTTGGTTTTAAAAGTATCCGTTTTCTTTACTTAATACTTTTTAGTCTAAAAACCACATATATCGGTAATTCGAAAAACTCTCAAAAGAGTCTCGTTCAAATCTTGAATGAGAATGAATGTGTTTTTCAAACAGCAAATCATCATTCTGTATGTAAAACTATCTCTGATTGGTTGAGATATTCAACCAAGAGTCGGGCATATGTAAGTGAGCAGAGTTGAAAACGTTGAGATGACATGTATTAACGTTTGTACATTACATCTTGAGATTTAAAGTGTTACTAAGTGTTGCTAGGGTGACATCATTAGTTTATGCAAGTTTATTGAATTACTAGTAGTCATCTTGCAGCAAGTGTTTTGAATTCTGTATGGGACACGCATGATACACAGTAGACCATATGGAAATTCCAAATTACTGTGACTTGTCGGATAGTGTCCGGTTTTGGCAAGGGTGCTTCGTTTTTCGTTCTGTTAAAAAGTATTCCACAATGCACATAATGTTATAATTTGCGATACGGTTAATCTGTGATCAAGCTATATAACCAGCATGTCTTATATACAGGGAATAATATAATTAAAAATTCTGTATAAAAAAATATACATAAAATAGTATTACCGATATACATCAATCTGAAATACCTGAAGAAATCTACGAGTATATTACAATTTTACATTACACGTTTTCATTTTGTGACTACCATGAACTGCAAAGACGATACATATCATTATTATTTTTATCACTTGTTCCATTTCACAAAATTAACTCGTATAATTTTTGCCCATATTTACTCAAACACTGACTAAGACCTGAAAGCAAAATATGAAATACCAGTATTAAATATAAATTTTGACTAAATTTACATTAATTGCATTACTGTATACTGATTATTTCAAATATTACTTATTTTGATCAAAGACACACCACTGTTATTTAAGTAACTGCATGTACTAATACAGCTAATACTGTAAGTAAAATATTGCCCCTATAATCAGGTAAGAATACTTAAGTTTAAATTTCTGTATTTAAAAAAAACCATATTTTAAGAAATCACTAGTTTTAGCAATGGCTAAAGGCCACTCACATACAGATTTCAATTACAACGTACAATTAATACCATAATTACAAACACAGATGTGGATATCATTGGTAGTTATGCTTAGGAAAGAAGCATGGAAAGTGAACGCTACACTACATTAAAACTATGTCCACATTTCAACATTGTGTATCCGACAAACATTGCTTTTCACTGACCTGTGAACCTGTTTATGAAATAGAATCTCCATTCACTGTGCGTTCATGTGTTGTGCATGAAATAAACGGAATGTAAAAATCTAACAAAAAAAGTTTATACAATGTAGCTTCATAGTGACACCAAAACTTTGTGTGGGATTCAAGTATTTTTATGGTATTTCTATGATAATAATAATTTGAGGTTATTGCGAGGATACGTCAAAGTATGCACGAAGACAGTACAGAGGCAGTATCAACTGACGCGCAGTGGAGGTCGATGATACAGTGTACTGTCTGAGTGCATACATTGAGGTATCCTCATAATAACCTTATTCATATACATCTTTTCCGTCCAAGGATACACCATGGGAATGCCAAAATCCAAAAAATTTAGAACAGAATTAGCGAACTTCTTTGTGTGGAGTCTGGTCAAAGCCTGGTGGCAGCCATGTTTGTTTTTATAATTAGAGGACACTTATGTGCGTAATCATTCCATATTTGGAATTTACATTTCCTAATATGGTAGGATGCAAATACCCCGTAAAATACCGCAAAATTACGGCACGCTGTAACTTATGGCGTTACGATGACAGATGTATAATAATGTGCAATACACACTTGATGATTAATTTTGATGAAGTAAGTAGATCTCAACGCCATTTTCCCCTCTGGAAACGCAGAATTTGAACTATAAAAAAAAATTGAAGTTACGCATTATGTAAGGTCTCGCAGAGAACAAAATATCCTTTATTGCGAAGAAATAAAACAAAATATTAATCTGAATAAACTGAAATGATTAAATCACTAGGAATTTAATGTTTTAACATTTTGGGTTTAAAATAAGCCGAAAGGTTTTTGGTTTGGAATAACACCTTACCTACTCTAACTTCTTTTGTCTCCGCTTTGTATTTTCTGTAGTGGAGCGGAGAAACAGATGGAGGAAGCTAGGGTATCCCAATATTAGTATATCATAATAATAATATTCCTCACTCTCAGTCAATATACCAATTACACATCGCTAAGAATCAACTCTCATCTACTGTAAAATACTTTATTTTAGCTGGAATTAATTTTCGCTGAAAAGATTTTTTGAGTGTTTTGTAGTATGGAATTTAATTTTGTATGGAATTAATTTGAATGTAAAATAAAGGAAAAAAGGTATATTCACTGGATTTTATTTTCACTGAATCATCCCTTCAGCGAAAATAGCGAATATTAAGTCCAAGCGAAAATAAAGTATTTTACAGTAATATGACAATATAGAGAGTTCATTTTTGTTTTAGTTAATACATAATATGTACAAAACTTCCAGCATTCTCATCAAACACAAAGCATGTTGATTCCCATGTTGTCAAGTGATTCTTTCTTTTATAATAGGTTCACTGCACACAATTAACCAACATTACAAATACTTTCTATAAATGAATTCTTATAGAATAACAAAGTTGTTGACTATTGTTTTGGTCCAACCAACTGACTTGATCTTTTCTCATAGCTCATCTTTCTTGAGTTCTTCTAAATTCTGAAAAACAAAATGAAAAAAAAAGATAAAAACATTAATAATAATAATGTTACATGTACGTGTACATGTCATTAACAAACATGTGTAACTAGAGAACTTACTCTGTTTACCTATTGCATCATGGGAAAAAATGCATCAAATGAAAATAACATAAAGGTACACATGTTTCTTTGAATATGAAATTTTCTCCTACGAGCATGAAATCTATGGAATTAATTTGAAAATTTAACCTGTCCAATATTTCTTCAACTACAGTGCAATTTCAGAAATAACTTGACTAATATATATTGGCTGATTCATATTTTCCTTTTTCAAGCTACACATTTTAAAGTAGAATTTCTGATTACATGACCTCTGAACAAACAGACATGCTGTAATCAAGACACAGAGAACTAGGACATAGTGACCTCAGGTCATCTAACACTGATCTTTTGTTACTGAAAAGGGACAAGATTTGAAATGCAGCACAAAACCATATGGTTGGCGTTCTTTTAGCAATTATGCCCCCCTTTTTGTGGATTGAACTTCCAATCTTTATTCGTCAATCAATCAATATCAATGTTTTAAAGAGAAGTCTGAATACTCATCTGTTTAGAAGAAAGTTCTTCATTTAATTTTGATTTTAATGCTAAAGTTATTTTTAAGGTATTTTGATATCTTCTATTTTTTTATAAAACAGTTAATCCTCCTTTTAATTTGATTTGTATTCATGTATAGTACAGCGGTGTGTGATGCAGTGAACATGGCTTAAGAAATGTTATTATTATTATTACTGTATAAACATTATTATATTTATCGATTTATTATATGTGGATTTTAGAAACAGATTGATTCAAGTTGTGTATTAAAATTAATTGAGAACAGGCAGATTGGAGCTCAGAAAAGTGGCTAGCTTTTCAGTCGAGATAATCAACATAACCCTTCGCATGAATGCACTAGTGAATATGTCAATCCAATGTACTGTTAGAGTCGGCCATTTTGAATCAACTGAAAAAAAAAAGCCTTCAATAACAATATTACATAACAATTTATGAGATATACTTAAATATACATCTATGTCCGAAATAAATGATGTAGTTCACATTTGCTTCCACTAGAACTGAGTTGTGTTTTTTAAAGTAAGAATTACTAATTACTGTAATTAATTAATCATAACACAGACTATCCATGTGAGTCCATGCATCACCAATATGACCTCACACTGAGAATAGGGAGAAACCATTTTTTCTGTAGGGGTGTTGAATAATTTGCAAGAATGGAATCACATGGTCTGTAAGTGTCATTTTGGAAAAATGTACATTCTCTGGAATCAAAAATACTCTCCGCCCCTCCCTTGAAAAAAATAGAACCCTTAGCAGAAATTATACTTTTCCAATACAAAATAATATAGTTCTGGCAGAAATAACACCTTCAGCAATAATAACAGACCTACATGTAGCAGAAATAAATCCAAGCAAAAATAAAAACCCTAGCAAAGTTAGGCCAGACTTTTATTACCCCTTGTTTCGCGAACCCGCGGAATGAACAGGAGCCGAAAATGAAATAAAAATAAAAATTTTATTTCAGCGTAATTTCTCGTGCCCGCCACCTTGTAAGCGCAAACAATGCTAAAAAAATATTATTTTTATCTTAATTTTGTTACCGCCCGCCGCATAACAAATCCAAGTTGCATTTTCGTGGGAGTATAATGATCAAAGTACCGAAGTCTCACGCAGATGAGAAACAAGGTTATACATAGAATAAAATGTTATTTCATTTCTTCTCTATGATCAATGATCTCACTTACAATTCTTTGAGAATCACACAAATCTAATGGGAAAAAAAGAATTAATTTTATTTTTTTTCCGCCCTCCTCAAAAAAATTGCTTTATAAAAAAATCGAGAAACAAGGAATAAAAATAAGTCTGGCCTTAATATCCACTAGTAGACAAAATAATGCCCCATCCAGAAATATTACCCATAGTGGAAATAGCAAACACTACATCTAGTAGAAAACAATACACCTAGCAAAAATAATACCCCATCGCTGATATGAAATGTAAAAATGATACCTCTTGCACGTAGCAGAAATAATAAAGCCTGGTGAACTCACAGTGAGACAAGGAAGAAATCATTATATTTGTTGGAGTGCCTACAGCGGAAATAACATCTCCTAAAAAAATGAATAATACCCCCAGGACACATGCCCAGTGTCATACCCCGCCCCTAGCAGTCAAATACTCTAGGACACATGCCCAGTATCATACCCTGCCCCTAGCAGTCAAATACCACATTGGCTATGCAAGAATTAGTGAAGAGGATTAATCAAGAGTTACTGGTACTCGATCTAAACAAGTCTGATAAAATATGATACTTAGTATATATCCTCCTGACAGGGGATATTATTTTTGTTCACAATCCTTGATAAAAGAGACCCAATGTTATGAAAAAAATAACAACCGTAAAAATCTGTATTACAGCTGCATCCCCTAATAGAAGTCGCATCTATTCTTTTTAACAATTGAGAATCACAAAATCCCAATTTCTAATTTGTGTAGATGTTCTAATAGAAACCACATCCCCTCTGTTGCATTGTACCATTTCAATAGAAACTACTGTAACAGCTTCTAATACAGATTTTACAGTACTTACCTTGTTTTGCATAAATACACTCTGTTGTTTCCAGAAATCACAGTATTCACGTCTCAGTTTGGTAAGTACAGTTGGTTTATCAACATTATTGCCATTCAGTAAAATATATTTACCATCATTCCCAAATTGTGGCCATTCATTTTCATCTATATCATTTTCACTTTCTGTGTTGGGATTTCTGAGGAAACAAATAAATATGGATAGTTATCAGACTGAATTCTGAATTACTGACAGATGCGATGTCATTTTTTTGTGCAAGTGTAACCCACCTAGCAACAGGTGAGGGTAGGACAAAAACAAAACGAAAAAACAATAGACAAACATCCCTGGAAGAAGTCAGCGACATATTTAAAGCAATTTTTAAAAGATCACATCGTGAGCGTGGGTGGGCACAGTAAAGTATAGCTAAAAGAAGACAGTTGAAAAACAATTGAATAAGAAGATTCTTGCAGAGAAAAAGATGGCATGTGTGTGTTATGCCTAGTAAATATAACCATAACCCTCCAAAAAAAAAACACATAAAAATATTCCGCTATAGCCAAAGATAATTTACATTACTATTTATTATTTCCTTTTTTTTAATTTTATTATTATTACTTATGTATTTTATTGTTCTTTATATCCTTATTGTATTCTAATCTAGATCCCAGAAGGGATACAATATCAATAAAGGTTGTTGTTACAGATGTGTTACATTATCATTGCTTGCTTAGGTAGAATAGTGTGCAAATTTTCTGAGAGTGATACGACTTAGTTGAAAGATGGCTTTTTTATTTGAGGGTATTTTTTACGCTGCCAGTTGGAAACATTCAAAATATGTCCAACCTTCTGGTTTATTGACCTCAGGTCACACAATATATATATAAGCACATAAAAAATAGACAACACTATCAATTTGGGAAAAAGGAATATTTTGTAGTATTCTGACATCATGTAGAATCCATGCGTTATGTAATTTGTACATCCAGACATTGAAATGCCTGTATGGTCATCATGTAAACAAACGATGTATTATACAATGTATATGTTATATGGAATCCATATTGGACATTTCATGCGCAAAGCTTTACCAACAAATGTGATTTTTCAAAACCCCCTTATTTTCGGCAAAAGTTATCTTAGAATGCCATAAAGTCCGCGAATCAAACACAAAATTCTTTATTCGGTGATCAAAAGTGGGCTATATTTCATAAACAATATTAGATGTGAGGCATTGATTCATGAGTTGTTTCCAGTATAATTCTTAAAATTATATGACAACATTTTATTCATTATTTATATATTACTACTGCTTCAAAGTAAACATCTAACGGTACATCCTTCCTAGGTTAGTTGTGTTTAGCGCACCCCGACGTAGAATCCGAGCAGAAATGCATGAAGGGAATTATTTTAATTGAAGACATTAGATAACTTAGTTCATGAATGATTTTAATCAGTATAGCATGATGTGTAACTCTCAGATTTGATTTTCAGCCTATTTACTCAAAATTAAAAGTTCATCAACTAAGTTTTCTAACAATCCAACTTTTATTAAGAGGCCATCTCACAATCCAACAAGTGGTTTAAATCTTGGTTTAAAGGGCGACAGTCGTCGCGCTGCGCATGTGCAACATTTGTGTTGATAAACATTGATTTTCCCACAATCCAATGCGCTCTTCTAATGGCAATAACAAGTACTGTAGAATACTTTATTTTCGCTATTTTTGCTGAAGGGATGATTCCGTGAAAATAAAATACAGCGAATATACTTTTTTTCCTATATTTCACATTAAACTCATCAAAAATCAGTGAAAATAAATTCCATATAAAACGCCCAAAAAGCCTTTTCAGTGAAAATTAATTCCAGGGAAAATAAAGTATTTTACAGTTTGACCTGGGCGCGACTTGCATTAATTATAGCGGTGACTCATTTATTACCTTCCAATCACCTAAAAATACCTAATTAAAGCTTGGTAACGTCTTAGTTTGTACTCGTTGATATGCACAACAGTCAAAGTCGCCATCTTTGTTTATATGAGACCCACATATCTCGCACATGCGTGGCGCGACAACTACCGCTTTTTGAGTATCACAGTGAACAGTGACGCACAGGAAACTGACTTGATTAGATATATGCAAATGAGGACTGTAAACTGTTTTATATTCACAAGTGATAAATTTTTACTGATCACAGAAAATGGAAAAGTCTTGTAGTAATGAGAATTTATCTACGGTTAGAAAGTCACTTTCAGAAAACTTTCAAACCAACAAATCGCAAAAAACGTCCTGAACATTAAACCAATCAAAAGATTAAAATAGATTCAGAGAGCCATTAAAATTGGTGCTGATTTGTATCAGGCTAAATCATTTTAATATACTTCAGGTGGATACTGAGTACAGTTTTATCAAAATCCTTTATTCCACTCACCCTGTTCTAGCAAAATTGGTCCAATATCTCATCATCTTTTTACTCAGTGCTTTTTCTTCAATGGTGTGATGCCTAATGTCCTGCCCTTCTTTTAACGGGAAGCCAAACAGGAAAGGCACTTCATCGCCGTGAACTGCGCCCATCCATTCCGGCGCTATACTCACCGAAGGACGGTGATCGAACTCGTAATAGTAAACAGGCAAACCCACATTGCTGTATAATGTGGCAAATTCTAATGATGGACAGACGTATGAGTAGTCGGCAGTTATGTCCATTAGTAAGTCTCGAAAGTAAGTCGGTTCTGAATTATTACGTTTCACGTACTGTTCTATAATAGGTGAGACATCTGCTGCGGTTGGAAAGCAATGGGTTAAAACATCATGTAGTTTGTTGTACTTAAACTGGAACCCATTGTTCGCAGAGAGACCAGGAATCCCGGCCCGGAACGTCATATCACCGGTTTCGTGCTGTAGGGTTCCTAAAAGAATTGGAATTTTCTCAAACTCAGCCTTCTTCACTAACGCTCGAGGTTCATCTGTGATGAACTGCCCATCAATAACAGGTGGAAACGGTGTTCGGTAAACAGTAAATGCATCCTGGTTATTCATTAATTGCTCTGCGGGCATGCCTCGCAGACATTGTAGGAGTTTGACATCTCCACTATCTCCGTCACAGTTCACCTTCTTTGAAAACTGCATGCTTCTGTCTTTTGCATCCCCTCCACTGACAAATGACCGTTTATGATTCAAGACATAACTGCTTTGGAGAATCGCTCGCCTGTATAAACCTCGACTTCCAGGAGAGAAGAGATGATATGCCACAGACGTGCCACCTGCACTTACTCCAGCAATTGTAATTTTATCTGGGTCACCACCGAACGCCGCTATATTTTCATGCACCCACTTTAAAGCCAGCTGCTGGTCCAGTAGTCCCATATTGCCCGGAGCATCTGGTGAATTCATGGCGAGGAAACCGAACACACCCAAGCGGTAGTTCATTGCAACAAAAATAACACTTTCATGTGATGTAAGTTTATTATTATGGTCACCTAAGTGCCTTTCAGCAGTACCCCATGTGAATCCACCCCCGTGGATCCAAACGAGTACGGAAGCTGCTTTAGGAATGGAGTCCGGAACGACAACACCAAGATAAAGACAATCCTCATCTAATGGAACATCTCCAGTTTTGTTATGCCGGTCATGCTTCTGCCAACATGACGATTTCATTTTCAACGCATCAAATGTTGTATTCCAAGGGTCAGGGGGTTGTGGAGGACGAAAGCGCAAATCCCCGAGTGGTGGCATTGCATACGGTATTCCATAATAACCGATCTGGCCATCTTCACGCTTTCCACGAACAGGACCATTACGAGTGTTCACTATCTCAGAATGTTCAGCATCCACAGTTGACAAAATCCACACAAAGATGCAGATCAACAATTTCATAATTGGAGCTACAGACAAAATATGAAAGGACAAAGTTAGTAAACTAGAAAAAAAAAAAATTGGAAATTATAAAAGTTCTACAGATTCTTGATATTTTGTGGTAGTTCCAACAAGCAAATAACAAGACCAAATAAAAATATTTTTTTATTGAAACAATTGTGATTTCCTTGTAGCGTTGTTAGTTTAATATACTGTAAAATACTTCATTCTAGCTGGAATGAATTTTCGCTCTAAGAAGACTTATTGGATGTTTTGTATGGATTTTATTTTCACCGATTTTTAACGAGTTGAATGTAAAATATACAAAAAAAAGTATATTCACTGGATTTTATTTTCACTGATTTTTGACGAGTTGAATGTAAAATATACAAAAAAAAGTATATTCACTGGATTTTATTTTCACTTAATCATTCCTTCAGCGAAAATGAATTCCAAGCTAAAATAAAGTATTCTACAGTAGATCATAAAATGTCATGTTCTGTTGACAGAGTTATGCAGATGTCAAATTTATTAACATCATGGCAACAAATGTACATTTCTAGTTGCTGACTATTTGTCTTTAATATATCAAGTTCACCATCATGTTCACCACATGTTATCAGTTTATCGTTATTATCTGATTTAATACAATCCAAATTTATGATATGTTTTTTCTGTCAAGCGTAATGATGGGGAAGCAGCATGAACAACTTGACTATGAACAGTCAAACCAATATGGCACCGTATATTAAGAATGTCCGACTACCACTCAAAAAAACCTGTAATATCAAGCAACCAATTTAATTCTGACTGTCAATATGAGAAATTATTGTTCAAAACATATAGTTCATTAAGGGACAACATCAAAAGTTCAATGTAGGATAATCCCCCTACCCCCCACTGAAACTTAATTGATAAATATTGATCATGGCGTCAGACCACATTTACCATCAAATACAAATTGATAATCAAACAGTAGTTTGGCATAGCAGTTGGTTGTCGGATGGGTGTAAAAAGCCCTAAAATTGACCTCATTTGACGCACATATTTATACTCAGACCAACCATTTTCTTGTCTTGAATGTTTTTTTCTTTCCATTTTCAGTTATTTTTGTCCATGATTGGATAGAAAAAAAAAAAAAAAAAACGAACTACAAATACTCCAAGATTTTTTTGACTTCATTGAAAAATAAAATCGTTTTTGTAGGATGGAAAATTTTGAGGTCAATCTCTCCCCACCCCCAAACTAAAGAAAATAAGTTTTTTTATCCGACATCGATTATTTGATGTCGTCCCTAAACGTTACTGAAAATAGAATAATCTGCTACCAGCTGCGACCGATAATTTTGTACTACCAGGACCTGAAAAATCAAAAGCTACCTCAGGACATACCTGATCAATATACATTAGCATGTGATTCAAAGTTCCTTAACACCCCCCCTCCCCCGCCCCAACCCCCCACTGATCATAAATAAATTGTTTGAATAATTTGCAATAGTACAGGCGTACCGGTACATATAATAAAGGTTAAATATGAAATAATTTGCATAAATCTAGATGACTATATTTATACATGTGTATTGTAGATTTCAAATATACTCAACAAATTTTTGGTGCCAATGATAGCCACCTTTTTATATGATAATTAATATAAAAACAAATCTATTACCATTTTTATGTTTTTTTCTATAATATTTTAGTTGTTTTTGTACCTAACTGACATAACATTCTATTGGCTGCATGAAGTGTATTGAAAAAAAATATTGAACAAATATAGGAAAAATATGAGTGTGTTTAATTTTTGGGATGACAAAAGTTGAATTTTGTGCAAGTATTTGCTTCACTGCACATGTAAACATGTACTTATTGTCTTGAATAGAGGGCACTTAATTGGAACTAAATTAAGTCGTCAAATGAGGTATTATCTGATCACGTACTGTGTGAATTAAATTTACATTCTGACTTTGTATTATCTGCAGAACATCTCCCGGCCAATGATTACATACAGTGATCTCCATGAAAAATGATAATATCAGTTGGTATGGCAACATGATGCCAAGGAGTCTTTAAATTACTGTAAAACATGTTTTTTTCGCGAGCATGTTTTTAGGCGAATTTAGCAAGAGAACTGATTCGCTAATTCAAGATGTAGCTAATGACTTTATTATAAATTCAAAATGGTCGCCAAACAACGTCTTTTTTCTCCACACACACTTTGTAAAGAACACAAAGAAAACGTACTGACATGATAGATACACTTTATTGAAAAGTAAATTAACACAAAAAAATAAACGTATTCATTGTGGTCATTATTTCAATGAAAATAAATAAATGAAGTGATACTGATATATTATTACGGAAATTAGTAGTACTTAGTAATTTTTGGGTCCCAATATAAAAGGTCAATGTTCTGGATGTAACTCAGCAACAATACTCGCTTTTTAAATCTCTGATAAATAAGTTTTTTATCATTGCGAACATAATCAAATTACACTTGAGAGTTTGTCATTGTTTTTATGGAGATGATAACTGCGCATTTGTTTTTGCGCAACACAGACAAGTATTGTGAAAACGGGAAATCAACAATGACAAGAGCGATTCGCTAAATCATTTCGCTATTACGTCATTTTACCACAATTCGCTAAAATTGCATGTCGCTTTTTCAACATGTTTTACAGTATGTTTCTGAAGCAGGGGATACCTTTTCAACATCTCCAATGGTCAAAGGATCTCTTTTTGACATTTTGCAGAATCAAAAGATTCATTTTTTGCTGTGATGATATAATGTGTGATATGTGACAATGGTAGACTTATTTACTTACCATGATTTTAAACTAGTATATTGTTCTGTACCTGATTGTGCAACTCGCCGAATGTCAATTACAGAGATTTTATAAAATAGTGTTTCGATTTGGTAGTTAGATGCATGAATGTAGCATTATTAGACAGCCAAACATTGAGACAAATCAGGTTGCACTCTTTATTATTTTAACCAAATGGTGATCACATTTTGATTATGGCAAACCATACTCTAGCACCAGCCTTAGCTGTCTTCTTAAAAAACAGCTATGGAACAAAACAGCAACAACTATCAGTGTATTAGGCCACATTTTGTGTTCATTCTATATTCTGTATTCACCATTGGCTGCAAATTGTATTTTTTTGTTTTTGACTTGTTTTTTTTTTTTTTTTTGAAAAGTTTTTATTTTTATTTTTATTTTTTAGATTGTAGTTTTTTTTTTTTTTTTAATTTCTTTCTGTAAGACCCTTTTTATCCTTTCCTAAGGATTTTATGCGTCTAATAAAAATATATAATATATATAATGTAACACTTCGTTTACTTGGCGTCTTTACTACAAACTACATGGAAAAGAAAGCCTGATCGTGCCCGCCGTCCGTGTCAGTGTTTCAGATTCTGATGTAATATTGGTTATGGCAAACTATAACTGTCACAACATACCCTACCAGAAGGGAACGTCACTCAGCGATGATTTATCTCAAATAATCATAAAGGAAATTGTGGAGAGTGGTGGTAATATGAATACCGGTGAGGTACTGAGAGCAGTGTTCCCTGCAGTAGGGCGTAAGTTTTCAATAACCGCGGCCGGGGTCCGTAAAAAGTTAGACAAAACCATCAGTCTTGAATAAGGGGGAGACCCACCAAATTACCGCATGGAGATTTAAAATTT